TTCCCTTTTCCCGTGTGATTTAATCAAGATATATATATATATATATATATATATATATATATTTATGCAATTAAATCAATATAGGTGCGCGTGATCCAAGTATATGCTGATAACTACAAGGAAACAAGAAAACACGAAGTTCCCAACAGCTTTCGTGTAATTCACACCTTCAAGGGTGAGTACAGACTAAGGAGTAATACTTGACAAGGCTAATATATACAATAGAAGAGAGTGAGATCAAGTACCTATGGGACAGCAGGGGTCCACAATGTTCCGGTCATATGGTAGTGACCCTTACTATTCTTCTTAACCCAAAAAAATTTATCATGCCAACTTTAAGCACAGCAGCTGTCCGTAGTCAGGTCATAAGGTAAGATAACCCAACCTTCTCACCTGGTTACAAATCTTCTTAATAACAAAATTGTCTAGTTTGTACATACCATTACTCAAATTTATGTTGACAGATTCGGTATGTTTAATTAGACTGGATTCTATAATGTTCCTACTGACAATTGAATTACAAGGTAATATTGAGGAAGCATTATCCCAGTCAATGCAAGGCTTATTATCTCTCATATGAATGAACAGAGCATTGTATTCCTGGCCTGTCCTAACACTATATTTATGCTGTTAAGGTCTAGTTACAAGATCTTGACCCGCCTGGCCTAAGAAGAACATATTACATTCCTTAAGAATATAAGAACATAAGAATGGAGAAAACTGCAGCGGGCCTATTGACCCATACTGCGCCAAGGTGGATGACCAAAAAACTTAAACATGACATAAGAATACAGAAGGGAATTTATAAGAACTAAAAGGGAGGAAAGGAGTATCTCAGTAATAGGTATAATGAACTATCTAGGAGTGTTAAGAAAAATGTAAGGAAGGCAAAAAGGGAATACGAAATCAGGGTAGTAAAAGATTCCAAGGCGAATCCCAAGGAAGTTTTCCAGGAATATAGAAGAAAGGTCAAGGACAAAGTGGGACCCTTACTTGTAAAGTCAGAGACAGGGGAAGTGATCTATGATAGTGAGAAAATAAGCAAAGCATTAAACAGCTAATTCTTATTAGTTTTCACAGAAGAAATTCACGAGTATATGCCAGAGGTGGAACTGATATTTAGGGGAAATGAAGAAGAGAAATTAAAGAATATCACTATCAGAAAGGGGATACTGTTAAGAAAATAAATAAACTAAAGAAGACAAAATCCCCAGAGCAGTATGGAATTTTCCCTCGAGTTTTGAAAAAGTGTAAGGAACAGATTAGCGGACCCCTCGTAAATTTATTTACAAAATCATTAGACACTGGAGTTGTGCCAGACTTGTGGTAACAGGCAAATGTAGGACTCATATTCAAAGAGGGAGACAGAGCATCAGCGTCAAATTACCGGCCGATTAGTTTGACTTCAGTAATGGGGAAATTTCTTGAATCAATTATAGCAAATATCATCCGATCGCATTTAGAGAAAAACAAAATTAATCTAAAACTCTTAACAACATGGGTTTACAAAGGGAAAATCTTGTTTATCAAATCTGCTGACGTTTCTTAGGAAAGTCTTCAAGGAAGTAGATAATAACGAAAATTACGATGTTATTTACTTAGACTTTAGAAAAGCGTTTGAGAGAGTACCGCATCAGAGGCTTCTGAGAAAAATTAAGGCTCATGGTATCGAGGGGAAAGTTTTAAATTGGATAAAATCATGGCTCAGTGATAGAACACAGAGGGTCAGCATAAATGGTGGGATCAGGAGTGACACAAGCAAGTTTGCGTAGGACACCAAAATAGGGCGGCAGATTAATTCAGGGCAGGATGCAAATGCACTACAGGAAGATTTAAATAAATTGCAGGAGTGGTCAGAAAAATGGCAAATGAAATTCAACACCAGCAAGTGCAACGTACTTAATATTGGAAGAACAAATACTGTCAGTGTATACAGCCTTAACAAACATCAAACTAGAGAAGTCGAATTATGAAAGAGACTTAGGGGTACTTGTAAGCCCGGGCCTACGGCCTAGAAAACAGTGCGTTAATGTTCGAAATCAGGCAAACAGAGTATTAGGTATTATATCTATAAGTGTAAGTAAAAAGAGTGCGGAGGTTATACTGCAACTATATCTTGCGCTAGTCAGGTAGCACCTCGATTATGCAGTTCAGTTCTGGTGCCCTTTTTTATAGAATGGATATAAATTCACTGGAGTCGGTGCAGCGAAGAGTGTCGAAAATGATTCCGGGACTTAGAAACCTTCCATGTCAAGATAGATTAAGGAAACTAAACTTGCATTCCCTAGAAAGACGAAGAGTGAGGGGAGATATGATAGAAGTATTTAAGTGGGTGAAAGGAATCAATGAAGGCGATATTGATAAAGTTCTTATAATATCCGAGCAGGATAGGACTCGTAGCAACGGATTTAAGTTGGATAAGTTTAGTTTTAGGATGGAGATAGGAAGGAACCGGTTCACAAATAGGGTGGTGGACGAGTGGAACAAGCTTAGCAACTTTGTAGTAAGTGCTGGAACGCTGGAAAGTTTTAAAAGGAGGCTAGATAGATTCATGGATGATAGAAAGTGGTAGTAACTCTAGACAGGAGCTGTCATGCACAGGCTAACCGGCCTATTGCAGACTCCTTATTTTTTTATGTTCGTATGTAAATCACAGCTGCAGTCGGAGGTTGGACAAGTACCTCCAGGGTTCATCAAGGCAGATGAAAGAAATTTACCAAAAGTAGATGTCTTTATGATTGTAGAGTATTATCAAGAACTCGGTCACCCCGGTATGAAGCACGTTAAATTACGTCTGTCATCTGATCATCTCGCCCATTCCCTGGCCACGGTGGCCCCAAGCCCATTCCCTGGCCATGGTGGCCCCAAGCCCTTCCACAACACTAAATATAGACATCAGTGACGAAAACTTACATTTTCTAGACATGAAATAGAGGACAGTGATGAAAACTTATATGTTGGAGTTATCGGTCTTTTGCATCTTTTGGCAGCCAGCAAGTAAATACATACGATGATATTTGAGCAGTAATTTATTTTAACCTAAAAAGAAGGTATGTCTGTGTATATCAACATTGTTTTTGGCCACAAGTCTTGTATTTCTGCTGGTAACAACACATACACCTCAGCTGGTTGCCTCCCACACGCTCGAGCTGGACGGCTTGCACTAACTTTTACTTTACTTTTATCCTCTTCGCCACTGATCGGCTTGTTAGCCGCTTGGGCGATCGGTCACGACTCTTTTCCTTTATATTCTTCACCAAAAGGTCGGCTCGCTAGCCGCCCGGGCGATCGGTCACGTCTCTGTCACGCACTGTTGGCAAATACTGGGCATGCACCGGCTCCTGAATGTACCTGAACCCGCTCCAGTGTTGGTCAAGTCTTCTCTTGAAAGAGCTCACACTCGGTGCCGTCACAACACTTTCTGGTAGATTGTTCCAAGAGTTTACAACCCTCACTCCGAAAAAGTTTGCCCTCACGGTTTTCCGGACTTGCGGCTTCTTCAATCTTGAGCTGTGACCCCTTGTGGGGCGAGCGTCCGCCAGCTCCAAGTAAGGACACTCAACTGAGTAGTGCCCCCTGAGATGCTTATAAACCTCAACTAGGTCCCCCCTTGCCCGTCTGTAGTATAAGCTAGGCAAGTTCAGGCGCTCCAATCTCGCAGGGTAGCTGAGATGCCGAAGTGCAGGCACCAGCTTGGTGGCCCTCCTTTGAACATTTTCAACCAACTGACAGTCCCTAGCATATCTCGGGGACCAGATGGGGTGACAGTACTCCAGATGGGGAAGCACTTCACTCCTGAAGATCGTCACGAGGGACGGACCGTCTAGATATCTGAACGACCTTCTTATAAGACCCAATAATTTATTTGCCTGATTTACCTTCCTCTCACAATGGCCCGAGAACTTCAGCTCATTGTCAACATACACACCTAGGTCCTTCTCACACACAGTCTCAACTAGTACATTTTCTTCATCCCGTTGGGACATATGGTACGCCTCCTTACCGTTGGTACGCCCCAGGTGCATCCTCTTACACTTCGTGACATTGAATCTCAGCAGCCATTCCTTCGACCATTCCTGGAGCCCACAGAGGTCCTTCTGCAGCGTTTTCTTTACCCATTGACCTGCCATCTTACGAAAAAATTTCGACCGTCAACTCGTCCATTTTAAGCAGACCTTCATTTTGAGTAAAATAAGCAGTACTGCCTCTGGGTCATAACCTAAATATCCAGGAGCCTTACAGTGCACCCAGTTTAGGATATTATCTTTGTAGGCATGCTACTAAAGTTTCATGACAAATTCTTCAAATGGAATGGAAACTTGAACAGACGTAAGTTATCTGATAATGGAAATTTATTTAGGAAGGAAAAAAATGGGGAGGTATCTTTGGTGTAGGAACTATGAAATTGTTTTGTAGATTTTGATGAAGCATTTGCAAAATAAAACTCATTAAGCCCAAAGATGCCAAAAAAAAGTATTAATGATAGCTATCAGAAAGGTGCAACATGTGTGTTATCACCACCATTATATAATGCCTACTGACTATTTTTAATGAGAGAAGTTATAAATATCGATGAGGGAATAAAAGTTAATAGTAAGAGTAACACAAAATATATGGTATCCAGAATGTATTGTTTTAATGGCAGACATTGAAGAAGCATTACAAAAACTGGCAAAGAATGTGGGCTGTAAAAGCGGAAGTAAATGATTTTACTCCAAATTATAAATTATGGCTGGCAAGAAACATAAAACAAAAATAGAATCTAATATTCTTTGACGCCTCTTAAACAGGATTATTAAGTTTAGTTTGAGGAAAAAGGCTGATAAATCCAAAATATGTCAGATGCTGGGATACTTTCAGAAGAAACAAAAAGAGGTCATAAACCTTCCAATATACTATAACAGGAGCTTTGATTCACTTATACAGACAGAAAAATAAATTAAATAGTGTAGTTCTACAGTAAAAATGGTCAGAGCAACGAGAGAAATGCTGGAAACATTATAGAATAAGAAAATATGAAATATTTTGATCTTAAATTCGGAATGAGGGGATAAATGGGTAAAATTGGGAGGAGGTGGGATAGGGAAGACAGAGACTTAAATGAGCAGCTGGGTGCCCAGACAGGTGCAATGTCTGGGATAATCAGTAGAGATAACCCGAAATTTTTCATGTAGAGTGTCAGGGCAGCCAACTCTTGGTATTTAGGATTACACATTGATTGACTGTTTCAATAATTCTCTTCCACAGAAGGAACCAAGACTGCTCTCTTAATATAGGTGGTCAGTGGGAATTAGTCTAGAAGAAGGTAGATGGTGTTTATTTTATTTATTTATTTTTTTTTTTACTGTTGTCTCGGTCCACGAGAAACAGTTGCAGGGATTTCATTCCGTGGCAGGGTGCAATATGGGCCGAATATGGGGCTTTGAGGTAAGTATTGTTTAAAGATGCATAGTAAAATTTTGGGTATTTGTAAACAGATGAGGCACATACATGTGTCCGTCATTGAGTTACAAGTGGCTGTTTATTATAATAATGGCTAGAAGATATTTTTTTGTGCGTACTATAAAAGGACAATTCAAGGTAACTTGCCTGAAGCCCCAAACATTGCCTCCAAAAACGGGATATTCGGTGGTGCTGATGTGAAAAGGTGTGTTGCCGTCTTTGTCAGTATAGCGCTTAGCCACTTGAATCTGAATCCACGTTTTGAGATCTAGGAGGGAGAACCCACCATGCAGCACACGCTCCAGCCATTCTTCCGCATCACTATTCTGCCACGAAGTAACACCTTATATATCATATTGCCAACAATTAAATAAATGCAGAGATTAATACCACTATTTCCTTGCATGATTTGAATTCACACCTCTCAGATTAGTAGGCGAGGATGCCACCACTCTACCTCGTATACAATAAAGCACGAGTAAATTAACCTGGACTCAATTTTACCAAACGATCTGTTTTCACTCGACAATAGTAAATTAACTTCACTTATAATTATATACACAGGGACAACAATAAAAACAGCTACCCATGTGAATTGCGAAATAAAATCGCTTTCTCATTATAAAGGCACAGTGGTAGCGCCCTTGCCTACCACTCAGATTCTTGGCTGTGAGTTTTCCAAATGGTAGACCAGTGATGTTTTTTTTGCATAAATAAATGAAAAAAATTGTGGAATGAAGGGGAAAATTAAACCTGGAGATTTTGTGTTTATGTTTTTAATTAGTGTCTGTGAACCTGAGTTGAAACATCCCTCCCAGTTTCTGGTGGTCATCCTCATCTCTCTATCTCATATCAGATTCCATTTAGCTCTCTGTAAGGGAGGGATATGGTACCAAGAAGCTGTGTATGTGTGTGTACATAGAAACAAGAGACTTAAGTAATGTTTTCACTTACCTCCATATTTTGCATATGTTGATAAATTTCTTGAATATCAGGGTCAGAACTTCCGTTAAAGTACAAGAAATTAGTTCCTGTTAAGTCATAAATACCCCAAGACCAGCCATCTCGATTGAGGAGATCCTGGAAGGTGTTAATGGGCGGGTACTTGCTCTGGACGGAGAGGTGGGCGATGAGGGAGGAGTGGTAGGCTGCTGTGATGATCACGCAGGTCAGCAACCACCACCCCATCAGCACCTACAGTAGGCAAAGAGGACACAAGGAGTTACCTCAAAATAAAAATAAAAATCACATGTTATTGCCCTGCTGCGACAACTCTCGACGGGAATCGTATTAATTTTACCAAATGGAGCCGATTGTAAAGTGAATTGAAAGAGTTGGTCAGTAAAGGGGTTAAGTTGCCCTGGGGACGTTTACTTTAACGATATAAAAAAATGAATTTATTATATTATCTTTATAAACGAGAGATAACGATCATCTCTGAAGAAATTGTATTCCTTAATTTACTTCAAGCTAAGAAGGGAAACCTTTACTTGCTTTCTTCTTAAAATTTAGTAAATAAGTGAATGAGTAAATCAGATTAATTTCAGAACCAATGCGTTTTGCTATGGTTGAAAATGTTAGGAAAAGACAAGAAGTTAAAATTTGAATATACGAAGCAACAACATAAATAACTCATCATGTGGTGCCGAAAAAGATTGTACCTTGATATACTCATCAGATCTACGGTCTAAAAATTATAGTTCTACATTTTTTTAAGTAAAAATGATAAGAATATCTTATATAACAATTGACCATTAATATTAACAAAGATCAGTTAGGACATGGCTCTCACCCGTCCACTGGCTTTGGTGGGCAGTGTTGGGCTTGGCTCTGACAGTAATATTCCCCAAGTGTGGAAGAGTGGGGTCACCAGGCTGACATCACGTTCAGATAACGCCCACGACCACGCCTTCTGCAGCAGCCACAGGATGAGGCCCATAACAGGTGTACAGACAATGATCGCAATCCAGACTTCCCCTATAGAAGGAAGAAGAATGTTCTGTATAGTGACGTCTGAGTGTGACAAATATGCTCGTGTGTACACTGACGTTAATAATGTTTACGATTACATTCGCATTATCTTTTTGCACGAAGAAAGTTATTCATGTTTCACTTTGTTATGAAAGAACATTTAGATGAGATTTTAGTTGATTCTGTTACGTGTGCCGGAACTCCCTCAAGTCATACCATCGTGATTTCTTAGGTTTTCAACTAATTTTTTTTTATTTTATGACAACAATAATAAAGGGATTTGTGAAGAGAAGAATCTTTATAGGTAAAACTTTTATCGAAAATTAGTAAATTCTATACACTAGTAAATTACATATGTCTGTTTTACAATTTTTATCCCAGTGTAAGACACATAATTTTCCCCGTCCTTTGTGGATGATCCACCTTACCCGGAACCAATATTGGCAGTCGAGTTACATTTGGCTTCTAACGGTGGCTGGTTTTCAAAGCCTGAATACAACACAGCTTATCGCTCTATTTATTGGAACATTCATCACTTGTATGTTCAAATATATTTTGCATAATATATATCTTCACGAGTACAAAGAAATTCATGTTCCGTTCAGCAGTCAACTGAATACTTTCCTCGGTTCACATGTATACACAACTCGATGTTACCTTCACAAGTCACACAACTTTTTATATCAGCCACAGTGATACACACAGCTCATTATAAAGCACGTTAGTAAAATAAAATTAAGGCAGACCAGCCATGGGAGATCTTTACCTTTAAAGGGTCTGGTGAGCGCCAGGTGTCGCGGTAGAGATGAGGGTTTTAGCGACAAAATAACATAAGGATCGTAATTATAGATCCTTGAGTGGTCCATGACGCGGCTCCTTGACTCTGTGAGAGTAAGGTCGAGGGAGAAGTCCGCCTGCTGGTGCTGCAAGTCGCCCACGATCCCTGTCCAGTTGCCATCGTCTGCTGGAGTCCCCCACTTCTCATCCAGGGGCTCACGCAAGACGTATCTGGAAAAAAAATATACAATATATTTCAATATAAATAGCAGTACAGTACTCCAACTTAAAGAACTATACGAATAAAAATGATCTTATTATCACAATTATGAATGAGGCCTAATCCACCGTAAAAATATTCACCACCATCATTATTATTACCATTTTAAGACCATTTTCCACGCTTGGCGTCTTGCAACTCTTCTCGTCTGGTTTTATGTCAGGTCATTCCTCACAACCTATCCCCATTATGTCTGTCGTAACATCTCTTACCGTCCATATTCTAACTCATATATTTATTGACTCGGTTGGTTTCACCCATTATATTCACATGGGTTCTAGGACAACTGCCCCCTGGACAATTACCCCCTAGGCAATTGCCCCACGACAACTGCCCCCTCTGGACAACTGCTCCCGTGGGACAATATCCCCCAATTGCCCGAGTAAGTCTGATGTACAGCTGACCAAAGAATGTGAGAAACGTCGGCATAGCAACCGCAAAGCCCAAGTTGCAGTGTGTGGAAATGAAGTAGATGGCCAAGTATATGACCATCAACCAGATGGTTGCAGGAGATCCAGCACCACCTAAGAGGAAACGTTATCATGATTCAACAGCCAGACTAGCAACCATCATACATGACTTAGAGAACCGTCATGTGTTGGACTTTTTAAGAGGTATAGGCCACAACTTGTCATCTTTGTGCGATATATGTCAGTCAATTTTTAAACATTAAATATAACTTATCCACCATTTTTTTCACTTAACCACAGTTATTATCAATATTTTTTCTAATTACAGATTTGTAGTGTTAATTTTTTTATGAGTTGTGCATTTTGTGTATATAATTATCACTACAAATAAAACATGAAAATAAAGCATAAATTCTTAGTGTTATTTTCTCCTCTATTCAGTTAGTTCCATGTTTTGTGCCAGTTATTCACTGGCAATGTGGGGACAATTGTCCCATGGGGGGGCGAGGGGGGGGGCAGTTCTCCAGTGGGCAGCTGTCGGGGGGAAATCGTCCAGGGGGCAGTTGTCCTGATACCATTCACATGCCCTCACCACCTCAAACTGTCTCGATGCAAAATCTCACCACAACTGTCACTACTCTGCCGCCATCTTATCTCTCGGAGTCATATTATATATCCATCTCACCATTTTAATTTCAGTTCGATAAAGTCTACGTATGTCGTCCTCTAAAACTGTCCATTTCTACTGTAATATAACATCACTCATCTCATGGCGGTTGCATACACCTTTCCTTTCATGTCAATAACGGCAACCTAGCGCATTATTCTAATAAAGACTAACTACACACAGAGAACAATATATTTGAGGCCACTCATATCGTGTGTCGGTCTAGGTATCCATTTTACTCAATGCTATCGACACCTTTTTTGTGTGTGACTATTAAGGGAAAACCACAACCTACGTGAAGTTAAGATTATTGGCGAAGGTGTGGAGCATGCGGGTGTTGAGGGAGTCTCGAGGAGCCACCGGGGTGCCCGGCTCTTTGAACTCTTCGAAATCAATGTAAGGTCGGTAATGCAGTCCCACCAGCTGGAATGTGTGCCCCAGGAAGTTTTCCGGTTGTTCTGAAAATACACTATATATGTGACCGTCTGTGTGACTTTATTTAGTTACACACACACACACACACACACACACACACACATGGAGGGATATCCTACACAGGCCACAGGCCTAGTAGGTGGCCATTGCTGTAGGTGCAATATATATATATATATATATATATATATATATATATATATATATATATATATATATATATATATATATATATATATATATATATATATATATATATATATATATATATATATATATATATATATATATATATATATATATATATATATATATATATATATATATATATATATATATATATATATATATATATATATATATATATATATATATATATATATATATATATATTTATTTATTTATTTATTTATTTATATTCCTCATCAAGATCTGCTCAATAATCAAATCTAAAGGCAGGTCTGCCCAGCAGTGGTCTCTCCTGCGGGGAACATGATACCCAAGTTTGAAGCTTCTACAAACCTCAGGATGTTGTTTTTTTTAGTTTACATGTTGTTGAGGTGCAGATTACCACATACGGTATGTCCAGCAGCCAGGAAATATGATTGCTGTCTCCAGGAGGCTAAATTCTTCCTAAACCAACTACAGAATTAAAAATGTGTTACTGCTTACTTAGACACATTATTATTTTTAACGAATTAAAAACTACTCTAAATACAAAGGGTCGATATATAATTACTCTGAAATGTACTGATGACGATAACCTGAGACGATTAACTTCCGTACGGCAGACACCCAACTCTTCAAAGGTAGCTAAACAGTAACCAATTCTGAACTCTTACAAGCATTACAATCTATTAATGCCGTACGTGCAACATTTATTTTTCAATCTACAAATACCTGATAGAAATAAAGATTTACAGATAACTTACTTTTCACATTTACATCTGTTAACGTCGCTGGCGGCATTGTAGCCAAGTTAGACTCGTCTCTGTAACCAGGCTAACATGTCAAACTGTGGTTTTTCAACTCTTATTTTCGGGTAGATGTACGTAACTTTCTTCATCTATTTTTAGTTATATGCATGCACACACCATCCTACTTATTTATTGTGAAAAAGTAAAAAACATAACTGTCCTAATGGAAACACATAAAAGGAATATAAATTTCTTTGAACACGAGTTTGCTGCTTTGTGGGGGAGCAGGAGGGCGGCCGTCTTCTGGGTGGTATGAGTGAGCAGAGGTGGCGTCGCAGTTGCTATGGTAAACAGGAAGTACAGATGCACAGTGTATGCAAGTGGCGACTGTGTTAAACTTATTTATTGGTATTATTTTATTTATTCCTCACATTTAGTGGCACTGTATATATATATTTTGAGAAAATTACCGCACCCTTATCCGCTACCTCCTAAGATGTCCCCACACACAACGCTTCCGTGACACCTGCTGGACCACCACCAGAGTTGCCAACTTAGCGACTTTGTAGCTAGATCTAGAGCTTTTTGTTTTTTTCTAGCGACACTTAGAGCGATTTGCGACTTGTCGCAAATCTAGAGATATCCACAGAAATCTAGAGAGTTGCTGGATACTTTTGGACTGTCCATGAAAACTCAGTTTTCCTAATTTCGAGCCATAATATATAGCAACGGGGTTACAGGGACAATAAATAATAAGAAAAGTTTAATACATTTGAATGGGTCGTGGTACAGAAGGAGGGACACGTCTATTTCCTGATCACTTGATGTCAGCCCGTCCATGCATCTAACACCCTAACAGTGGGGGCTCGTGCATAGGGCTGCAGAACTGCAGTCCCCCCCAGACACTCACTGCCAGGCGTATGATTCCTTTAGAGAGACAGCTGAATAATACACTACCAACAAATATATCATTTTATATGTTATTTAATTATTTTCAATACGTTGCTAAGTGAATTTTCATTAAAATCAGACCAAAATTTAAGTTACTTTCATAGTTGCTGTCAATGCTGTACGATTCATGTCTGTTATTAATTGGCGCCGCCGCCCCACTTGAAGCAGCTCAGTCTCGTACAACGTGTGGACGGTGTGGTTAAATCGTGCTTTCTTTAATTACCCTTTGACGATGGAAAATCGAGTGAAGTATTTGCAAAACATCAACTTTTCCCAGCTGACATTAAATGAAAAGACTGAAATCAAAGCAAGAGGAAGACCTACACCAGTTTTATCCATTCAACAGAACAGTACAAGCAGGAACAAAGAATATACACGTCAGTTTAACATCAGTGTTTATCAGAATGACAGACTGTCTGCTTTAGCAGTGATATCCATTGAAAATAAAATGATAACAGAAATAAAGGATTTTAATGAAATAGTAATAAACAATTTTGCTACATCGAAGAGCAGACACGCCGACTTTATTTTCAATTAATACTGGTCCATCACCACCAACACTACTACCATGCCCTGGGAATTCGTGGACATCAACTACGACTCATACCTGAGGTAGGTCAAATTTGTGTATCCTACTGTTGTGTGAGGCTTGCAGTCCCTCCATTTTATTTTTCACGAGCCGCCACTGCACCCTAAAATTGTGGTCAGAAGTGGCAAATTACAGAGATGCGACAGGTGAAAACCCTTACCATGATCTGGCTGAAATTGCACTCGCTGCCTTATCTCTTCCGCATTCAAACGCAGATGTAGAGCGCACATTTAGTAATATGAACTTTGTGAAATCAAAATTGCGCAACAAAATGAAACTATCGACATTAAAGGCAATTCTTACAATAAAGTATGGGTTAAAAAGACAGAACACCTGTTGTGCAAGTTATGAACTTCCTAGTGATATTTTAAGAAAGATAGGGACTGTGGAGGCATACAGTTACAAGAGAACCTGAACCAAGCACTTCACATGCTTCCAGCTCTATAGTTGTTCACACTGCTTAGCTTTTTCTCAGAAGTATTTGAAGAGGTAGATAATGATAAGTCATATGATATAATTTATTTAGATTTCAGTAAAGCATTCGATAGAGTCCCTCATGAGAGATTGATAAGGAAGGTAGAAGCACATGGAATAGGTGGATCAGTATTAAAATGGATTAGGTCATGGTTAACTGGTAGGAAACAAAGAGTCACCATAAATGGATTAAAGTCAGACTGGGGTGCGGTCTCTAGGTGCTGTTTGTTATATTCATTAATGATGTGATTTAGGCATAACTAGTAGGATTAGTAAATTTGCAGATGATACCAAAATGGGGAGAGTGATAAATTCAGACAGTGACTTTGAACACCTTCAAAGAGATCTAGATACCTTACATGAGTGGTCAGTAGACTGGCAATGAATTTTAATACTGATAAATGCAAGGTACTACAGATAGGAAAGACGAATACAAACGTTAAGTATAAACTAGGTAACACGGAAATAGAAAACTCAGTTTGTGAAAAAGATCTAGGTGTATTTGTTAGCAACGACTTGAAACCTAGAAAACAATGTATTAGCGTTCGCAACAAGGCAAACAGGATTCTTGGGTTCATATCTAGGTCTGTGAGTAACAGAACTGCTGACGTTATCTTGAAACTTTACCTAGCATTAGTGAGGCCACACATGGATTATGCGGTTCAGTTCTGGTGTCCTTATTATAGAATGGACATAGATTCTTTGGAGAGAGTACAAAGAAGAATGACAAAAATGATCCATAATATTAGAAACCTTCCATATGAAGAAAGACTGAAAGCTTAGGCTTACATTCATTAGAGGCGTAGAATTAGGGGAGATATGATAGAGGTGTACAAGTGGGTAAGTGGGATTAACAAGGTAAAATGGAAGATGTTCTGAAGCTCAGTAATAACAAATAACTAGAACAAATGGCTTAAATTAGATAAATTCGATTCAGAAAGGATATAGGCAAGCACTGGTTTGGTAATAGAGTTGTGGATATGTGGAATAGGCTACCGAGTGCTATAGTAGGATCTCAGGGGCTTAAGACAGATGGAAGCATGGAAGTGCTGGGATGGGTGTGAAAGGGATCTGCCCTGTATGGGCCAGTCGGCCTCCTGCAGTATCCCACTTTCTTATGTTCTTATGTTCTTATGAATATAATACTGTAGGTAAGTGTGCACATTAAACTTTAAAAAAATTTTTTTTTTATTTTTACATAATGCATTTTATTTATACTCCGTCCATTATAGTCGGCATTATGAAAATATTATTTGCATCAAATTACTGAAGGGGGGGAATAATAGCTAGCGACTTTTCATGGAAGATTTAGCGACATTTAGCTACTTTTAGGTACCAGCCTAGCGACATTTGAAAATCCGAGTTGGCAACCCTGACCACCACTCCACGACCCCCTGACGGAGACACGATGATCCTCCCCATACTGGCCAGAAATTATGAAAATAATATTGATGATGTGTTGAAGGAATATCATTTCTTCCTTAAGCCCCTTTATAATATTTATATATAATTGTGACACTTGCCAGATGCTTCTGGTGTTATTGTACCTGGTGACAGCACTAGGATCCCCGCTTCCTCTATCAAGGAATAAAATATTGAAATTGAAATTGATTAAAAATTATTAACAATATTAAATAATAATAATAATAATAATAATAATAATAATAATAATAATAATAATAATGAACTATAAATATATAACAAAAAATATATATCAATAGTGAGACACGATATATGTATGTTGTGTTGTCAAACTAAGAGAAACAATTGAAACCCTGCAATTGTGTGTTAATGAGGCAGAAAGTCAGATCTGCAAACTGGGACTTGGTCACATTTTTTGTGATGTGATATGGCAGCAGGGTCCATTATTAGATAATGCATTATGCTTCCAATGTCTATTGTGTCCAAATATTATATCCATAAGCTTCATTGAGTCCTTCTGTTTTTGTAACATGTCATCAATTCTGTTCATGGACTCAGCTAAGCAAACAACATCGACTGGTCGTTAGTCATCATCTCAACAAATAAGATAGCAGCCTCCTTTAGACCAGTATCACTGTCATCTGTTTCCATTCATGTCCATTCTCTTCCGTCTTCTGTAATACCATCAGGTTATTCATTTTAGTTCATAACATTGATTTCTGTTTCTAGTGGTAGTGGAATATCATCGGTGTTTTAGACAAGCGTGGCATTTAGGGCTGCGTCCACAACCAGGTGAGCACGAACAGCCCGAGAGATTGCTTTACTAATAAGATTGTGATCAACTGTATTGTTTGCATGAGCTACTTGAAGTAGCTCCTTCAGCCCAGAGCCGTTCATCAAATGACCATTGCAACCAAGAAAGGTTATTTCCGTGTGCAAGCCATCAAGTCTTGACACAGCCTATACAGCTCATTCGCCTTGGGCTCCAGTGATACAATCAAGGTGGCTTCCATCATAGATGCTTTTCAAGTATCAAGATTGGTGTAACACCCATTCGATGGGCTTGGACACACACAAATGGATTTGCTGATCTTTACGGATCTGCTGTTAAGCAACGAAAATGCTACCCAAACAAACCTGAGGTTTCATGTATCAATATTGTTCAAAATTACCAAATTCCACCAGTTGGATTTCGGTGAATTTTAATATGGCGTTGTTGAGATGTTGCAACAACTAAAATCACCAGAATACTTATTATTGCAATTTGATTGAGGTTTCACCATAGACTGACTGGACTAATTAATCTTTTTTTTTTTTTTTTATATTGGGCACCCCACATCCTTGTGTAAGGTGAAGCGCAGCGTTTACAGTGCCCAACATGGAAGCATGCTAAGTTCATGCTTGCCTTTATGTCTCATGAGTTAAGGGCGAAGATGCCTGAAGAGTCAGTGGTTTATGTCATCAAGTTATTAAGCTCCAAACAACTTGTCCCTGAATACGAATTCGCAACTTTCGACTTACAACAGGTACCTACTTTACTGCTAGGTGAACAGGGACTAATGGGGGCTAGGAAGTAAGTCCAAACAACTTCCACCGGCCTGGGAATCGAACCCGTGACATCTCGCTTTGTGAGGAAAAAGAACAGTACCGCTTCTACCACCGGTCCCCGACTAATTAATCATGATATGATTTATGATTAAAGCAGTGAGAATGATTTCTTATCATGTGGTATAATAAAGAGATCTCGTAAACTTCTTTCTTAACGCATTTAATTATTTACAGCAACTCATCCACTGAAGTGAATTTGTAAGGTCCACAAAACTTAGTAATTTATATTGTTCTTACTTGGGTGAGGTCTTATATTTCATCCAGTAATACTTAAATCAAATATAAGTTATAATACTGAGGAGTTACGGAACCTCGCCATCTCCAAATATGTGAAATTCCTACACATCAACTCATTTCCTTGGTGGACGACATTTCTTGTGGGTAATACAACGTAGTATATTATAGTCTGTTTTTCGTTAAGGTTTTTATGTAGTCTTGTTATTTTTATGTATTTTAGCTCCACGATACAGGATATATCATATTTGTTACACATTGCTTCAGACAATCAAAAATGCCAACCCTACAAATGAAAACGACCTCAGTCCCAATGATCATTTCGAAGGCCATCAGACCTCTACAGTAGGCCTACGTTGACTATACAGTACGAAAAGAAAAATCCTATCGGTGAAAAATTGGCATCTTGTAGTCGACGCACCTGGGAAGAGGTTGATACGGTGCTGGAGGCCTGAGGTCACGTTCCCCTGATACAGGAGGGACCTGAGCCTCACCCTCTTCTACAGCAGACACCGCCTGTACACCCACACCTGCTCACCCCACACACGGAAGATAAAGTATGACGTGAACTTGAAGATTCTGGTTACGCAATAATAATTTTCAAAGCATTACAGAAATTTATTATGTAATTATTGAGGAATATTTCTGAATATCACGACAAGATCACCTTCAATGACTCATTGGAAATTTAATATCAATGCGAATACACATTGTGCTTTCAAACAATATGTCCCTCTCAACACTTTACCTCTGATTTGCTCCTTTCCTAGATCTCATGTTGAGCGATGGTCTCTGGCCTCTGTGGAGGGGAGGTCATGGAGGGCGAGGTAAAGGTGAATATGTTGCGAAGACTGTGGTGAAGGAGGACGGTCTCCACCCTCCTTCACCACCACCACAGAATTCCTGGTCGCCACACTTCACACCACTCCAGGAACCTGCGTCAAAGTAACTTGAATTTACGGAATATGATTTATACTCACACAAGAGTTAGCTCTGCTCTACTGCTTTTCTTACGATTTGGCCAAATTATCAATATATATAAATAAAATTAAAGGGTAGGACTAACTGTCAAACGAGAGTTGTAACAATGTATTTACATGAAGAAGAGGCTGCTGTTGTTGTCCGTATATGATGAGGCGCGGCACGTGAGTGTAGCGTCCTGCAGGAGCTGGTTCCTTGCAAGCGGTCGCTGACGGTTTGATCACCGTTTAGTTGGTCACGTTTTACCTGTTCCCGCGTGCCTCCTCCAACAAACCGCCACGCCTCGACTATCGTCACACTCGTTCTCATTCTCATTAACTGTCTGAAAAACCATATAGAGCATCTTATTATTTAAGAAATATTTAGAACTATGTACACAGGGCACTGATCACCACTGTCCAACACACCAGACACCACTGGGTGACATCTCAGCACAGTGTTTTCCAAACTTAAAATAGCGGCGCCCCTAACTTAGCAGTTTCTGTTATTTCCTCTCCCCATTGATATTAAAAAACAATTCGTAACTGATGAGAGAAAAATCTTCACCTCTGATTAAATATTTTTAAACATTACCAAAACCATAAATTGTTAAAGTTTTTAATCTTAAAACTTATTTGTGTCTCAATAACTTTTTTATTAGTGTAATGTGTGAGCTGCTTTTTTGCGCAAAGTATTTGAAATGCAGTCAGTGATGAAATAGTGACTCTTAGCTCTTCTATTATCATCTGAGAACAGTACTTTGTCTTCATGACACCAACAGCAGAACAACTATATTTTTGTTTTTTCAAAAGTAGAATGTCACAAAAGGTAAAAACTTTTGACCTTGTCTCAAGGTATACTCCCAAGACCTGGGCAGAATTGAATTAATTATCCTGTTATATAAATTATCACTTGATAACTCTATACGATGATCTTTTTCAAGGTTGTCAACCAAAGACAATTTTGGGAGACAGAAGACGAATTTTTATCTATTCAAATTTTGAGACATCTTAGTCCTTAAAATGAAAAATTATTTTGCTAATCCTTCAACATAAACAACTATGAAAAAGAAAATTTGATGCACGGAACTTGTGAAAACTTTAATTTCTAAATTTCTTTTCCGTAATTGAAATTTTCCTGTAAACGCATTCACTTTCCTGTTCTGTGTCAGAATAGTGGTTTGAGCTTTCATTGATCTATTTAAATAATTCAGAGTTCTTCATAAACATCTGCCAACCTGTTTTGGACACCCCGACCAAAAACTAAAGATGGGGGCGGGGCGTCCCAAAGCTAGGAAAACACTGCCTTTAGTGAGAAGAGCGCAAGATTAAAACAAATAAATAGTCTTCATCTCAGAACTCATCCTTTGATCTCCTTTATCACTAGCCAAACGGTGGCTTATAGTTATCTTCCTCAGAGTGATTCTCATATGCATTTTGGGCAACCAAGACACATAATGTTTTAAAAAACAGTAGGAATTCTAGTGAAAATCTTCCCATTAAATTTGAGAACATCTTCATTAATGGTCTCATATTTTTTTTCCATTAACCACATATTTAAATATCACTAAAGAAGAATATATATATATATATATATATGTGTGTGTGTATGTGTGTATATATATAATTTTTCAGATTAGCCCACCGAGACACAGATCACCGACCCCATCGGGGCCTGGAAGACGAAAATGTAAAAACAGTTTATGATATACAGCTATAAACCCACTCACCTGATCGTCGGAGAACGTTGGTTTTGTGTGTGTCAACCAGCACCAAGGACATCCTGTCAGGTGCAGTTCCACTACCTGCCCACCACCTCGCCCACCTGGTACGCGAAGCCGCCCTTCACTATGCCCATCATTACGCCCACATGATCCACAGGGCTACCGACACTTCTTCACCAACACAAACGCAATAAGTACGAACATACGTATATTGACTGTAAATATGGTTAGTGGTCTTGTTAATACGTTTTCAGCGGGAAGATGAATACATTTTACGGCAAATATCTTGATAGGGTTCAGTACTTTGTAGGACAAGAATTCTATCCATCTAGAGAACCGTAACCAATTTATAGGGGTCCAAAATTTAGTGAAGTAAAGTTCTTGAATTCCTATCAATTCCGGTGACAACTGAAGATGCATATAGTAATAGGAAGATAGCTATTGATGATAATAAGGCGGTGATTGACATTCACAATACAAAGGATAAGAGTTATACTTCCAAGTCAAAGGTTGATGGAACGTGATGAAGCGGTGGCACCGTTCAAAATCCTAGTTCTAAATGGCCTGCCACTACGAGGTTTGGTGTTGACGTTGCCCTCTCGTTTCCACCGTCTTATCCACCTACATACAGTTGACACGCTTTGCCAGTCTCTCGCAATGTTACGACAAGATATCCCGTCCACCCATAGACACTAACTTGGCACGTTCACTCAAATCAGTCGGCTTGTTAGGGCGTCGATATTTCATAATTTTACTCTGCATAGAAGAAATATTGCTCAGAAAAGAAAATTTTGATACTTCAATGACACGATAAAGGTACAGTATAAGCAGTGAGTCCGGTGCCTATGCACGACTTCGTATGTGAAAATCTAAATTCTTGCTTTATATAAGTATATAATTGACAATTCATATAGTAAATTAATTTACCATAAAAAAAGGTAAAGATAACAAAGAAATCAAGCAGTAATTACGTATTCAAACTATAATCATGAAACTTCGAGACCTGATACTCCCACTAGAAGTTAACTTCCGGTCTCTAGCTATCACTACTGCCTAGTGAACGTCAATTGGTAAGATAAGGTGGCGAGTGACTCACCGTACGAGTCAGAGTGAAGTGTAGGTGGCGAAACACTTGGTGACAGGGCGCGGTGGACGAGGACAATGAGAGAACCTCGGTGTTGCCCCTTTTATCGTCGCTCACGCGCCGTTGAATGTCACGAGTCACGTTACAGTCTTAAGCCGTGATCTTGGAGGTCATCAGAAGGTAATGTTTCAATATATAATACTCTGCAAGATCATTGCCACCATATCAATTGTTATTTGTCCTGCACTCATGTTGTGAATAAACATTTACTGAAACGAGCCCGATGTATTCTGGATATTTAAAGTTTGCTCAGTAAGAATGAATTACCATAGTCTGAACACACACACACACACACACATACACACACACACACACACACACACACACACACACACACTACTTTGTTGTCACTCAAGAATCGAGCATGACGATCATCCAGCTATGATACTATAATATGAGTTATTAGGGATGTCACCTAGGTTAGTGAGTTTTGGGGTGACTAAAGAGACCGATACAGGACCCCAGCGTCATTCATTTGTTGCACATGTGGGCTCCATCTACTGAGGAGGGGCTGTAGCAGCGTCTTTCTGGCGTTGGCGCTTGTCTGCCTAGGTTTGTAGTCGGGCTAACTCGAAAGTATTGACATCTTCTCGTGTGGTGCTCCTTCAAGCGTAACGATGTGCAGTAATCGACTCCCATGTGAAGGGTCGATTTGGACCTTTCAGGTTTGTCTTAACACTATCCTTATACCTTTTCAATTGCCCGCCTGCATTACGTTTGCTAAGTTAGGTGACTGTAAAGGTAGCGGCTTTGGCAGTCTATTGTCGTCCATGCGGGTAACATGGCCAGTCCAACATAGTTGTTCATGGATAATGGCAGCCTCGACGCCCCTGCAGTTGGTGTCAGCAAGAATACTGGCATTTGTTCTCTTGTCTTCCCAGCGAACTCGGAGGATGGAACGTAGACTACGTTGGTGAAATTTCAGCGCCTTGAGGTGCCTCCTGTATGTGACCCATATCTCACTGTCATAGAGCAGGGTTGGGGAGGACCACTGCTCGATATACGTGCAATTTTGTAGATTATTTCTGCTCCCTACAGCTGAAGACATGATTTGAGTCTGCCAAAGGCTTGAGATGCACATCTGGTCCGATGCTGAATCTCTTCATCGATGTCTGCGGTCGTGGAGGTGGGAGCCAAGATCCCGAAAGTGCGGCAACATTAGAGAGGTAGGGCCGTTAAGTTGGATGGATGGTGGAGTGCGTCTGAACCAGGGGCAGGTTTAATGAAAATCTGAGTCTTACATATATTCATAAGTCAATGTAAAACCCGTCTGTGTAGGTGTTCAGGATCTCCTGTAGGTAGTGTTCAGTGTGAGCAACAAGGGTGAGGTCGTCTGCATACTTAAGTTCGGCAATGGAAGCTGCGACACCTTTGTTCTTGCCTGGAGTCGTCTTATGTTGAAAAGACCCCCTTCACCCGGTACTCGGGTTCACCACTGGCTAAATTGGCACTGGCACGAGTAAGGAAGGCAGCCAATAAAATGGAAAGAGTTAGTGTCAGTACACACCCTTGTTTAACCCCTGTTTGGATGGGGAAGAACTCTGACTGGATGCGTTGCGAAGGATACTGCCGTTCAGCATCGGGTTGCCTCACAATGGAGATGAGTTTTGGTGGGCAGCCAAAACGGATGAGGGTCCAC